TAGAAATTGTTTTAAGAGATTTCAAAGAAATTGATAATAAAAAGAAAAATGAACTTCTTTTGCTTCAAATAAAATGAATATCTCTAATGTTGTAAAAAAAAAAAGATTAAATAGAAATAAAAACGTATGTCAAGTGGATAAAAGTACTTTGATTTTGTATATAATGTCATTTATTTGTTTTGTTTTTCTTCTTCGTTAGTTTAATTTAACTAATTGATAATAAATTAAACATGAACAAATAAGAAACTTCAAGAGAAAAAGAAAGATGAAAAGTTTGACAAAAGTATTCATCAATGATATCTTTGAAAAAGAATTTTTTTTTTCTCCACATGTATATCAAATGATTATTTAGACATGAAAAACTTCAAGTTTCAATTGAAAATCAGCATATTGGATTAGTGATATTATCATTTACACAATCAAAACTAAGTCGTATCAGTTGATCTTTTCTCATCTATTAAAGTGAATTCGATGCCACTATGATTAACACGAGATTGTTCTATGAAATTGAGAACTGAATGAAAAAGAAGTTTTGTTTTGAAATTCCAATAGAAAATAAAAACAGATGAATTAGATCGATTGTCTTTGAATAATCAGTTGATTCATATTTCTTAAACATCTCAACATTGTCGGAAAAGTTTATTTTCCATGATTAATATTTCTCCAAATGGAAGTCAAAGATTAAATTTTGTATTTTCATATAAATTTAATTAATTTACAGATGTTTTTCCTTCTCATCATATTTGATCTTATCTTAATAAATCTTTATTAATTGTCTGGAATAGAAGTATTTTTGTTGACTTTCATATTTTGATTATCATATGGAGAACGTAAAATTCATTGGTACAGATTATCTTGAAGATTTGAATTCGTAAATGTAAAGAAAGATAAGAATGACTCATCGAAGATAATCTATGGAAAATCTTTTGTTCTTTGTTTAAAAAAAACAAAATTATCGAAGAGAAATTTCATTTAAACAAAATTGTCGAAGAGAAAACAATGACTGTTGATATTCATTCCAGTACAGCTGCTGTTCCTGAAGCTGCAAATGAAAATTCTTTAAATGAACATTGTCAAGTGAAATCGAAAGTTGGTCATGTTGCCAAATTTCAATGTGAAAATGAAGATCAAATCTCCAATGATGATGAACTTTATCCCAAATCATCATCAGGTATTTTTCAAATCTCTTTTCAACAATTCAAACAAATTCCCGAATTTATTCCTTTGACGAAAGCAGTAATTTCCACTTTTTTTTACGTTATTTTCCCATTGAAAATGTTTTGTATTTCTTTGAAGGAATTGAAATCTTTCATAAATAATCCTTATTGGAGAAAGATTCGTCTTCTTATTGGAATCTTTTATGTTTTCTTTATTATTCTCTTATTACTTGGATCGATTATGTTGATTATTTTTTCAACGAAATGTTCATCGAAAAGTCCTTTGAAATGGTACGAAAAAGATTTGATTTATGAAGTTGATTTACAAATGTTTTCTGATTCGGATGCTGATGGACAAGGCGATTTAAATGGTTTTCTCAGCAAATTCGACTATTTACAAAAATATTCATTGAAAACTTTTCTTTTTCGACCAACGATTTTTCAACAGAAAAATCATTTGGATTTTCTAAAACTCAATTCAAATATTCTCAATCAAACATTTTTCGATTCTTTTATCAAATTGATCCATCGAAAAGGTTCGATTCTTCGTTCTAAATTGGATTTTCAAGAGTGAATCTTTATTTAGATATGAATGTAATTCTTGATTTACCATTATCATCAACAAATGACCTCAATGGAACATTTTGGTACGGGTTTAATCAATCACTTCCAATGCAAATCAATGTAAAGTCTTATTTGAAGGAAAGTTTTGTCGAAAGAAATTTCTCTTCATTTAGAATCCGTGTAATCAAGGAGAGGAAAGTCTCGGTTGTCGATATTGGAAATCATCTGAAAGATTACCTTTGGATTTTAATGAAAAACAAGTAAAAGAACAAGCAGAAGTAAAGTTTCTCAAGTGAAAGAAAAACAGATTTGAATTTGATCTAATCTTTTAAAGAATCGAATTCGTTATTGGTTATTAAGTAAAAATGTTGATGGAATTCGAATTGATTTACCTTTACAATTTAATCAACAAACAAATCTTTATGAAATTTCTTCGGAAACAATTTCACAATGGAATTTAATTAAATATCAAATTGAAAAACAAACAAAAACAAAGTTTGACAAAAGAATTTCTTTGAAAAATCAATTTATTTCTTTCAATTTAGATTAATTCTTTTTGATATTCCATTTGATTTACTTGATTTTATCAAACAGAATGATTTTCATAATGAAATTATTTATCCAATTTTGGACAAAAGTTCTTCGATCATCAAAGCAAAACAAATCGACGAACAAATTGATTCATTTCATTCCAATCATCGATCTTTACCCAAATTTTGGAAGGTCTTTTGTTTTTCTGAAAAGATTTTTATTCGCAAATTTTCATTTTCAATTGTTTTAGTTTGGATCATTGAGATTAAAAGAACAAATTCAAACGAATTTATCAAAAGAAATTCAATTAACAATGACAATGTTATTTCCCGGAACACCAATTATTCTCTATGGTGAAGAATTATCTCTTGATTATGTAAAAACATCCTGTTCATTGAATTCAACTGAAAAATTTCTTTTTTGTTCATTTAGAATCGAAATCGCTTAATGTTATGGACATCAGATTTACCATCAGGTGGATTTTCTTCGTGTTTAACAGATGATTGTCAACGATTATTTCATTTATATGAAATCAATCCGTTGAAAACAAATGTCAAAGTTCGTTTCTTCTTCTTTTGAATTTTGAAAAGAAAAGTTTGTTTTGTGTTTCTTTGAAGCGTCAAGAAGCGACCGATGGAAATGTTGAAGAATCATTTTTGAAATATTTTTCATATTTAACAAAATTACGTCAAGAAAATTCGTTTCGTTATGGTTTATTTGAAAAAGGTTTTTCTGAAAAATTCAATTTATTTTGGTTTATTCGAGAATTATCAGGTCAACGAGGTTATTTAATACTTTTTAATTTAAACAAAAAAGAAGAAAAATTAATTCATTTATCATTATATGAATTGACAAATCAATTAATACCTCTTTCAATTTCATATGAATATCAATGGCCTAAAAATTCTTTTTCTTTATATCAAAATCAAACTCATATTAATTCAGATAATTTATTTATTTCATCAAAACAATCAATTTTTATTTTTTCATGGAAAGTTAAACTTATTAAACCAGAAACACTTTTTCAAAAAGCAAAACTTTATTTAGTTGATTAGATCAACATTTTTTTTATCGTTGCTTATTATTCAATAAAAACATTTTTCTTTCGTTATCAAAATTGATTTCACTTCCAAACTCATCAATGAAATATTTTAGCGGATGGTGAAGTACAATTGAGTGTGATCGGTACATGAACAATTTGAATTAGATAAATGTTTCATTTGAAACATCTTCGAATCTGTCGGGAAAAGTCGAAAATCTGATAATTTAGACAATTGTTTATATTTCTATTGGTTTATCATCCTGCTCTTTTTTTGTCTTTGACGATATTTGTGTTGTGTTTCATGCCTGGTGAACCGTTATCTTCTTTCATATTTCGGTTTTTACACATAGTATCATCAACTGAGAAAGTAAATCGATTATCGTGATGTTTTGGAACAGATTTGGGATAAATGAATTAATAAATAATGCTCGTCGAGACGGACTCGAATTACCCTCGACTAAAAAGATTCATATGTAATACCCAGGTCGAACAATCCCATCGGATCCGAAACATGGATTTCCTGGATTTTCTAAGGGTCATCATAGAATATAGCTAGAAAGATCGCTCATAAAATTTGCAACAACCGACGGGATTTTTCTAGTCGGATTCCAATGCAATTCCGTTTCCAGGAATCCGATCGAATTTTGTCAGATGGTCGGATCCGATCGGATTTGTTGACCTGGGTAATCAANGCGATGTCATCTGTATCTTTTGGTAACTTCAGATCGATGACTACTTTGCTTAAAGTTTGTCCTCGGCTTTTGTGAGTTGTGATAGAATATGCAGGTACAAGAGGTAATGTGCGTCGTTTAATCGATAGCATTGCCTTTCTGTTCGTTTTTGATTTGTTGTTGACTTTCGGAAGAATATCCGAAATGTCCACCTGAAAGGTTTGTTCCATTATTGGTATTGGAATGCGTTTTGGTTGAAGCTTTTCAAGATTGCACTCAATTTTGGATTTGCTTATTTCGATCAATGCATATATTGGCTTGTGCACACATATCGGATGTTCACTAGAAACGTTTCTGACAGACTATCTATTGACACTGAATCAAGATCATAGACTAGTTGTCTAAAGATTCCATTCATGCCGTTAATTAATCCGAGTTCAATAGCAATATTTTGTGTAATGATAACCGGCATTCCAGGAACTAACGGTAACAAACCCGATAAGTGCTCAGTCTTACTGTCAGATAATTCCAGTAGTTTTTTAAGGAATGCCGGCTCTTCAACAGGCTTGCCTTTACAAAAGTCCTGAGCGACACATACCATTGGATTGCAACCTGCTTGTACTGCATTATGAATTGCCGATCTGTGGTTCAATTGTGTTCGTATTTCATTCCTAAATACAAACATGGGAGCCTAAAACAAAGAAAAACAGAGAAATATATTTTACTTGATTCCATGGTGGTTCACGAACAGATACGGTTGGCTGTCCCACAACGCGCGTCAATAATAATTCATAATCTTCATAACTACGTTGACCTTGACGAAGTTGTTAAAGTAACTGAAGATATCGTGAGTCTTCTGTTCGCATCTGTTGAGTAAGTTTGACCACACAATTAATTTGTAGAATTAAAGAACGTGCAACACGTTGTTGGATTTCTTTTTCCGAAGGTAATTTATTGAATTTCTTTTTATTTTCCGGCGAAAAGTCAGTGTGTAACGGAGCACCGTATACTGGCCGGTACTGTAACTAATCACCAAAGAATATCACGTTTATACCACCGAATGGAATTTGCGGATCGGCATGTTTAGCGGCACAAAGAATTCGATTGAGTTTTCCGAGTAAAGTCAAACCATCCATACTCATNTAGTGGTTCAATTGTGTTCGTATTTGATTTCTAAACACAAGCATGGGAGCCTAAAACAAAGAAAAACAGAGAAAATATGTTTATTTAGAGTAGAGAAATATATTTTACTTGATTCCATGGCGGTTCACGAAGAGATACTGATGACTGTCCAACAACACCCGTCAATAATAGTTCATAATCTTCATAACTACATTGCCCTTGACGAAGTCGTTCAAGTAACTGAAGATATCGTATGTCTTCTGTTCGCATCTGTTGAGTAAGTTTGACCACACCATTCATTTCTAGAATTAACGAACGTGCAACACGTTGTTGGATTTCTTTTTCCGAAGGTAATTTATTGAATTTCTTTTTATTTTCCGGCGAAAAGTCAGTGTGTAACGGAGCATCGTATACTGGTCGATACTGTAAATAATCACCAAAGAATATAGCGTTTATACCACCGAATGGAATTTGCGGATCAGCATGTATCGAGTTTTCCGAGTAAAGTCGAACCAACCATACTCATTTCATCAATCAATTGTTCGCCTAGAAATGAATGAATAGTCATTCCACCAATTTCAGCGGCTGCAATTCTAGCTGGTGCTAGCTTCCGCATCTTTTGTATTCTGTTTGTAACACGAAAATATTCAGTCACAGCACGAATAAGTTGTGATTTTTCTGTACCACCACAACCGGGTATACACATGATAAGTTGGCCATTGTTATCTCCTAGATGGATGATATTTTTCAATTTATGATTATATAGAACCATTTGCATGAACATACCTGTGCGTGACGGTTTGTCACCATCAAGATGACTTGTTATTATCATAAATGCAGCTTTTTGCTCTCTGTTTAGTGTGTATTGATCAGCGACGCTCTTTTTGATTACAATATGTTGTACTTGTTACTGAAGCAACTGGAAGAATTGAGTTATAGTTATCAGACATGTTCATATTTGAATTAGTTGAATTTATCAGTGTTACAACTGTATCTTCTATATCGTCCATGTTTGACTCGTCGCCTATTTTATAATGTTTACCAGTGATTAAATTTCGTCTAACTCGCTCTCTTTCAACTTTCAATTGTGCTTGCCATTTAGTATTGAGTCGAACGAGATCAGATGTTGAAGGAACAAATGGTGTTATCGGTTGATAATTATCAGCAAATGAGGCATTTATCAAAATTTGATTTGGTGCTGCAAGAAAAGATAGCGTTGATTCTGAAGATGAGTGATTACTTACTGTGTGTATAAGAGAATCGTCCCATTTGTTCTACAGCTTCTATAGTTTCCTCTATATACACATCTTGAGGGTGAGGGTGTGGGTGAGGGTGTGGGTGAGGGTGTGGGTGAGGGTGGGTGAGAATGTGGGCGAGGATGAGGGTTCGCTGGATTAAAGGGACCAAAGGGAGTAAAAGGAGTAAAGGGCCTAAAGGATTTTATAGATTAAATATAAAATACACCGGGATAAAACTAATTTTTCGTGGACCTCTCATTTAGTCGACGAGAAAAGGAGAGAACAGATGGTAATATTCAGTTTGTTCCTGATCTAACAGAAGAACAAAAACCACAACAAAGAAAGGAAATTCGATCGTCCGAAGCAAAGAAGAGAAGAACAAGAAAAGAAACACTCATCTTCGATTACACCGGTATTACTATGTCATAAAACGACCATATTATCATCGTCTTAGATTGAGATTGATCCGGAAAATTCTTTGTTATTATGGCGTAGTGTTTCGTCACGTCAAATTTCAAGGTGACTGAGTCGTTATCGGAGTTAAAAGTGATCAACATCGGGAACAATATGAAGATTTTTTACCATCGTATTGTTTCGACAAGAAGAATTATTGGCGATTCAAAAGATGAACATTTATTTATTTATTTGTCTTTTTCTTTTTTCTGTTCTTGGTCCCCTTTTTTCTTTCTTTTCTTTATCTTATAGTAATTTTTTGTGATGATCACTTATGTTGTCTTTCTCTCCTCATCTCATTGTGATAGTATGAAATGTTAAGATACATTTTTTTCTTGTTATTTTTAGCTTTTCTTGCTAGGGGAAGGGCGTTATGATATGAAATATCATGCCATCTATTCTCGTTATTTTCTTTGTTGTTATTCGTATATTTGTGGTTGAATAAAAAGAAAACAGTTATATTTTAACTGAATCGAACTCGCCTCTCTTTCTTTTCATTTCTCCATCCATAACTCCAACATAACAGCACGATCCTGAACTTGAACTGAGCTATGTAAACCAGTAGCAGTACTAAGATAGTAGTTTTTGTGAAAAAAGTTTGAGCGAAATCGCTCGAACTAATTGAAAGAAATCCAACTCACAAAATAAACTTCTTGTGAGTCTATATTGAAACAACCACTAGAATTGGGAATAACACTTTTCCACAACATATCCCTTATAAAATAGTATCGTCATATTTCTCATGTTGAGTTCTATCTTTGGTAAAAATTTCAGGTTACTATGGCATTTTGGTGAGAGGATATTGTAAAGATACTGCTGATAAATGATCAGCCAGAAAAAGTGAAAAACCGAGAAAAGAGCGTTTTAAGTGCTTTCAGTCGATAGTTCGTATTTCAGCCGAATTTCAAGCTTTAGGGGTAAAAATTTCGTTTTATGCTCCAAAAATATCCTCTGCAAGATGGACAAGTCCCATTTTAATCTGCAAACTTTGATTGAGCAGCTATACTGAGCAATTCGTTGTCCTTTTCGTTCAGTGTCTTATAAGTGCAATTTATCTAAACCGCTCGGATTTTCCAGGCAATAAAAAAGTACAATGAAAAACTCAAAGTTACCTGATGATGATCCCTTGGTCAAGGATCAAAACGCTTTGTTATATGCTTGACTCGCTTGTACCCTCAAATTCTTTACGAAAGTCAATTGATACTTTTATTGTCATCAATAGTTTCGATTATATTATGAAATGTAATGTCCTGGATCTGTCTGCGAAGTATAACTATCGAATTAAATAAAAACAATGCATTTTCTTTTCTTTAATCAGCTGGTTTAAAACATAAATAATAGCAGATGGATGTTGATTCTTGCGCTAAACACAAATATTCCGATTTCAAAGCTAAAACTTTTTGAGTAGGAAGCGGATGTAGACTGTTGTAGTCGTATCTATTGAAATATAATTAGTAATAAAAAAGATACATTGAAAATCAGGATCTTTTGAAATACATGAAAGATAATATTGTCAATCGAAACAGAAACTTCATCCAATTTAATCAATTTGTATCTATATCAATACTAGAAGTATTTTATAATTATATGAAAAGTTTCATTAAAAAGTTGCTTTTGAGTCTTCTTAGAATTAGTTAGAATAATATTGTAACGATACTGGTAATAACATCGTTCTATACATTTTCTTTGGTTGTTTTCTTTCCCCCAGTCTCTCTCTCTCTCATTCTTTGTCATGAATTTGCTTTCACACTCTCTTTGTTCTGGTTGTACATATATAAGTGCGTGTTTTTGTACGTAGCAGATGCGATTGACGATAGAAAGAAATAAAGAAAGACGTGATTCTGTCAAGACACACATCTCTTCCATCAGAAATCGTCGCGTATATCTTTATTTAGTTACTTCGAGTTCTATTTATTATTAGATAGAAGTATCACCAAATTCTAATTAAAATAGATTTCTATTCAATGAAATCACTTCACTCTTTACTTTTTTTAATGAAAAGATTATAGGAAAATTGTTTTGTACTATTTAATGTTCATTTGAAACACTGCTTCTACCTCGTTGACGTAGCATCTTTCAACGTTTCTTGAATTTTTTTCTGCTGACGATAAATTATAACTAACATGTGTCATGATTTTATTCCAAATAGTGATATTAAAAAGGAAATCAACTATTGATGTTGTGCTTGTTTCAATATTGAACCTATATCATTTTATCACAAATAGAGACAAAGAGAGATATTTCAGACTTTGTCCAATCTACCTCAATTAGACACGCAGAAAAATACACACTAAAGCTGACATATTCAGTTCTTATTAGTATATGAAATTGTATTATTTTAGATTTTCCATCTTCACAATTTATTATAGTATCGAAGATGAACCAAACATAGACAATGAATAATGATGACAGCCAAGTTAACAACGTAAAATCTATTGCATGACAGGTATGAAAATAGTTTTTATTTTTATTTAAATATTTTAGCTTCAATCAACTGACAATGATGATATTCAAATAAGAAGTTTTCCGCAACAAACAGTACCGTATGTATCTATAAAATGATTGATAAAATTTCAAACAATAGTTGGTTACAGATATGTAAAGATTCGAACTACAAAACGAAAATGGTTGATATTAACTATGTTTATAATTATTTTGATTGTTGCAATCACCGTTCTTGTTCCAACAATTATTGTAATACGCAACAAGAAAAATGTGACAAAGACGTCAACAGAAGAAACATCGATAACAATAAAAACAACGACAACAACACCAAAAACAGGTATAGTTTTCTGTCAACAAAAATAACAGGAAAAACCTAGTCTTTGCTTCTTATTGATTTATAATCTATGAATTACCAAAAAAATCTGTCTTTTAACAAGTAGCTGCCTAATTCGACTTATAATATAAGTGACGAATTCCGAATACACTCCTATACATACTTAGGAATAGATAGGGATAGGTTCAGCTCTGTCTAAGCCCACCTTCATGTACGTTTAGAAATAGATAGGAATAGATTTTGTTATACATAGTTTCAGGAATACTTTCAGTCGAGCTATATGTCAGCCTATATCCATCGGTATACAAATGTATAACTAAATCTATTCCTAAACTCCTAGGTTTATAGAGATATACATCTATTTATATTCGAACTGAGATTAGTCTATCAGATGTCCATTTATAATAGAAGTCGAATTAGGCAACTCATGGGGACTGAATATTTTTTGAAAAAATGTTTAAGCTTGCTTCTTGGGTTATTTTAAAGGTATGCAATAAATAGAGGCGACGATTCTGTATCGGATCATCGTACTTTTGAGTCTCACTCAAACTCTATCGTAGAAGGAATATCATCGGGATTAGAAAAACCCGAAAAATCGGGATTTTTTCATCCCGCTGACTTTTCTCACGAGATGGAACCAGGATGTGACAAGAAAAACACAATGATCCGATACAGAATTTTTTACTCTATTCATTGCACCTATTTAAAATAAGTTGAAGATTGACATTTCTTTCTTTAAAATACTAAATCCCGAAAAAATTCCGATGCAGGACTCTACTCAAAATGCTTAAAGTTTGTCTGTCATTCTGTCTATCTGTCCAAGCCAATCAGACTGCAGCATTCAATAACTCATAGAAAACTTGATGATGATCATACAGAAATGCTTGACCTTATGTAATCGAGGTCGAGGATCACGAATCCAAGGTTATTGTTGTTTAATTGATTATTAGTTTTTCATCAACTAGCCACGACTTATTAACATCCATTGTCAGAGTAGACCGAAGGGTTTCTGACGTCGTGAAATTCGAATTTGAGGGTGAATTTCGTCTTATTCGCGGAGCCTGGGCTTGTTCCTTCCTCTTTACAAAGAAGATATTTTTCTTTATCTGTTGTGAAATCTTTTGTAGAAGATGGTGAGCTGAACGCTATTCGTGGACGTCATGCGTACAGAGACAGTAGCTCAAGAACTTACACGAAAAGATCTAATACATTGTACATAATGATGTTTCTAATTCAAGAAATCCGAAAAAGTGATACGAGCTTAGTATCATCTTTGATTCGTAGGCTACATACATCATGTCCTTTGATGGGAATTTAGTAGAAGTAGTTCGCAAAGTTATATACTCGCCGGTGGAATTTTATCTTAGTAACTACAGACGCGTGAACTATACAAACAGTATTCTGAACACAGGCAGGGCTATGAAAGATGTTTGTCTCGAAGCAAATCATACAATAAGACTGTCTTACCTAGTTTCTTCTGGTAATCGAACGAATAGAAGACCATGACTGTCGAAGCGACAATAAAGGAAAGCCTAATCATTCGGATTGAAAGTTGATCAAAGGCGAAGCGAATAACAGAGACAACATGGCAGCGGCTAGCCGCGAGTGACCGACCGGAGGGAGATCGACGAACGACTAGACGTTTGTTTTGAAAATTACTTGAAAAGATGAGATTTATCACTGTCTTACCTAAAGTCAATGGTTTTAGAACGAACATAATTTATGTGTTTTCGAGCTTCGAGAATAAGGATTGCACATAATCAGTGCTTCAAATTGAACAGAGCAGTAGAATATGTACTGTAAATTACACAGTCACGAAAGGTTTTGATAACTTCGATCCCAGATCGACTCAGTATCAACGAGCTACTTCTTTTCATGAAAATACTATGAAAACTGATCCTGTGCGTCAACGACTGGACGTTTAAATGCTAGATTAATCATAAAGTGTACGCTTAGAATAACCTTGCCAGGCTTCAGATAATTTTGAAAGGGATTTGACGAATGGATATTCCTTAATGAGAACATGCGACAAGGTATCATTTTGTTGACAGAAGAGAAAAGAATGGGTTTATCGCTGGACGACACAGGCGAATGTTCAAACTTTTCAAGTAGTCTACTGTACATCGTCCGTGTATGAGTGACTTAGTAAAGCATTTATGAAAATTTCCATGCGCGTGATGTGAAAATAGAAAAACAGATGACAAAGGTCAATGGTTGGCCGTGAGTGGTCGTCTGACCACCCGTTGAGCGATGAATTTTTCAGTTAACATAGTTAGTGCTGGAGAATTATCCACTGACAAATGGCTAATCGGTCTGATTCCTAAAAAGACTTTTGAATTCTATTCATTCTAGTGTGTGACATAGTGCCATGATTCAGTTGAGCACTAGTAGCAATCGCAGTGCGTTTTTTCTCTTTCGAAGTCTCTGAATGTGTTCAGCATTAGGAAAAGTCTTTCAGAAAAGGGTCAGTGAATCCAAAGGATGAGCGTTACTTGTCTTATATTAGGTATAGATTATTTATCAATATTTTTATCACTATTTTGTTTTCTTGAACAGTCATGAATGGAAAGGATAAATGGTGCGTTTCTTACTTTGAGAATTCTCTGAGCTACTGCTGTGCTCCCAGGGATTTCGAATTCCAGGAATCAGTCGTTTCCGCCTTGTATTCGATCGAGGATTATTTTCAGTCGTTTAATTAAGAAACATATTCTCCGATTGAGCGATTCTATATATAATCATTCCTTCAAAATAACTTTTACAGAAAACAAAACAAAATTACTTCTACCTTTCGAAAGCTTATCGAATGCATTTCAAAAGCAAATTTACACATCAATATGTTTTTTATGTACTCAAAAAGTGAGTACACTACTAGGACCGGTCAGTATGTCCGTCCGTCCGTTTACGCGATAACCCTTGAAAACTACATGCATGCAAACCCAAAATTTTATCCGTAATATTGTCTCATTGATATCTCGGTCGAGTTCGGAGAGGAGCAGGATCGGCCGAGAAATCCTAAAAATCCTAATAAATGACTCTTCGAACCTTGAGGGGAGTACATTGATTTTCAACAAAACATTTTTTTTCTGCCACATCTACTGTTAAAGTCAGTGTCATGAGAGCAACCACGTCCTGAAACATTGTCCCATAAAGGTAACCTTGCGTTCTCCTACTCTATACTATGAAGGTACCCTTGAGTCCTGATATCCTATTCTGTAGGAGTACCTTTGAGTCCTCGTATCCTATACTATGGGTGTACTCGTGGGTACCCTTAGGTCCCCATGTTCTATACAATACGGGTACTCTTGAGTCCTCAAATGTCGTACTATAGAGGTAATCTTGTGTCATCAAGTTGTTTAATATGAGGGTACCCTTTGATCTTTCTATGCTACACTATACTATGACGATAGCTTCTCTTTTTCTGTAGCGTGGAGATGGCTCAGGGTCTCCAGTTTTAAACTATGAGTGCATTCTTAAGTTGTGTACCAGGTTCCTCTAGCTTTCATGAAATTTCCCTCGGAATTAGCGTTATAGTAATATCTCGTTTTGGGTTCCCAATACTCTGCTGGCTGGACGTGTCTTTTGTTAATCATTGTAAAACCTTGATACGAAACTTAAAGTGCTCTGTAGCTTAGCTCTCGTACACTTTTCAGATAAAACCCGAGGTTTCCTCATTTTTTATCTTAGGAAATGTTAATACTGTATGGAAACAAAATGGAATTACAGTTGCTGGATGTAATGAACAAAATGGATCGTTAGGCCAAGCTAATCTTCTTCGAGGTATCGATATTGATGATGACTTTACACTTTATATTGCTGATCAAGGGTTTCACCGTGTTGTTAAGTGGAAATTGAATACAACGATTGGTCAAGTTATTGCAGGCGGTAATGGAAGGGGAGACGGAATAGATCAGTTAAGTAATCCAACAGACGTGGTGATTGACAGGAAGAAAAATACTCTCATTATTTGCGATGCTGCAAACAGTCGATTGATAAGAGTGTTTTTACATCATAATTCGGAGACTCACCCTACAATTATCTTAAAAGATTTTTGCCATAATCTAGCGATTGATAGCAATGGAACTATTTATATATCGAACTACTGGGATGGGGTTATAAAACGATGGAATGAACGAGAATCGAGTACAAAAATAGTTGCCGGTGGACATGGACGTGGAAATAACTTGGATCAGTTGAATTCGCCTACATATTTCTTCGTTGATCAGGATTATTCAATTTATGTATCGGATAGGGATAATCATCGCGTGATGAAATGGATAAAAGATGCACAACAAGGAGTAGTCATTGTTGGGGGACAAGACAAAGGAGATAAATCTACACAATTAAGATCGCCTAAAGGATTAATGATCGATAATTTAAATAATATATATGTAGTTGATGAAGAAAATCATCGAGTGATGCGATTTTCTCAAGGATCTCGGCAAGGAATTATTATTGTTGGTGGAAATGGAGTGGGAAACAAATCAAATCAATTTCACACTCCCGAAGATATTATATTCGATAAACAAGGCAATCTTTATGTTACTGATTATTTTAATCGTCGAGTACAAAAATTTTATATTGCTAATTGAAACTTTTCTTGTGATCACATGGCTTTTGATTTGTAATCGTTGTTTTGTAAAATTATTTTGTTGTTAAAACTCATGGTTGAAAATAATCTTGATCTTGATCTTGATCTTGATGTCCCATGGGCTTAGCGCCCGTTGGGGCCAACCACTATACGGATGAGATTCTTCCATTGGTACCTGCTCTGCGCAAGGTGAACCAAATCTCTACAACTGCGGCCACACCATTCAGTTATATCGTCTA